TAAAGATCTTAAGATTTTGAACATTTTTTGTTCAATAACTATTCAAATATACTTTTTCGTTTTTGAGATATTAGCAAAAGAAATATTTAGGGGCCAACCCTTAAACTCCTTAATGGGGACGTTTAGCAAAAATTGAAAGGTTGCAGATTGTTCAGAACATTATTTTGAACATCTTTTGTTCAATATTGCTTATCAAAATATTTCTCCCTTTCGAGATATAAAGCATCAAAGATTTAGCATTCTGGCCCCTTGTGGCCCCTAATTATGTACCATACGACATGAATATCATAATATATAGTTGTAGATTGTTAAGCTTAACATTTTTTGTTCAGTAATATATACCAAAATATTGATTGTTAAAGAGTTATCGATTAAAGACTTCTGGCCCCTTTTTGCCCTTAATGTGATGAGTCAGCGCTTTTTTCTTGGTATATTATGAAAGATCTTGATATTCTGCACAAATGATGTTCAGTATGTTTTAACAAAATATTTATACTTTAAAAGATATGATGCGAAACGTCTCAAAAAATCGGTCATGATTCGTGTCCTAAATTTTGACCCCTACCGAGCTCCCATACTAGGCACTTCCGGAAAATATCCTGACCATGTTGCAATATGGCAACATGTCCTCTATCATGCCTGAAAAAATCAGCTTTCTAGCTTGAGCCGTTTTTGAGTTCCATCACAGACAAGGAGGTCATCAAAATTTCGATCAAAGGGCGATAACTTCCGACCGGAAGTGAATTTTCAAAAAATGAAAAAAACGTATAAGGTTTAGATAAAGATACACCTTCTCCGAAAATTTGAAGTAAATCGGTCGAGTCATCTCCGAGAAATCTTCTGCACAAAAATTGTAAAGAAAAAAAAGAATAATAACTAGATACGATCTCGTTGCGAGCAACGAGTGGGTCTTCCGTTCGATTCTTGATGAGATGAGATCAGATTTTGATTGAGATTATCTTTCTTAAGTAATGATTTTCCATATTCTGTAAAAAGACATTGAACAATACAGACTTCTAAAATCGACTTTTGGCCTTTTACGGCCGCTAATATTAGGGATCAGCCCTTTTTTCTTCATAACATTTTAAAGCTCTCAGGATTATGAACACTTTTTGTTCAACAACTATTCAGAGATTCTTTTTCGTTTTCGAGTTATTCGGAAAAGAAATATTAAGGGACCAGCCCTTCAACTCCCTAATGGGGACGTTTAGCGAAAAATGAGAGGTTGCATATTGTTCAGAACATCATTTTAAACATCTTTTGTTCAATATTACTTATCAAAATATTTCTCACTTTTGAGATACAAAGCGTCAAAGATTTTGCCTTCTGGCCCCTTGTGGCCCCTAATTATGTAATGTACGACTTCAAAATCATAATATACAGTTGTAGATTGTTGAAATAGACATTTTTGCTTCAGTAATGTATTACAAACTATTGACTGTTAAAGAGTTATCGAAAAAAAGACTTTTAGCCCCTCTTGGCCCCTAATTTGAGTGCCCAGCCCCTTTTCCTGGATTTCATTTTGAAGCTCTTAGGATTATGAACACTTTTTGTTCAACAACTATTCAGAGATTCTTTTTCGTTTTCAAGGTATTTGCAAAGGAAATATTTAGGGGCCAACCCTTCAACTCCCTAATGGGGACGTTTAGCGAAAAATGAAAGGTTGCATATTGTTCAAAACATCATTTTGAACATCTTTTGTTCAATATTACTTGTCAAAATATTTCTCCCTTTCGAGATATAAAGCAACAACGATTTAGCATTCTGGCCCCTTGTAGCCCCTAATTACGTAATACACGACATAAAAATCATAATATACAGTTGTAGATTGTTGAGATAAACATTTTTGCTTCAGTAATGTATAGCAAAATATTGACTGTTAAAGAGTTATCGAAAACAGATTTTTAGCCCCTCTTGGCCCCTAATTTGAGTGTCCAGCCCCTTTTTCTGGATTTCATCTTAAAGCTCTTAGGATTTTGAGCACTTTTTGTTCAACAACTATTCAGAGATTGTTTTTCGTTTTCGAGTTATTTGCAAAAGAAATATTTAGGGGCCAACCCTTTAACTCCCTAATGGGGACGTTTAGCGAAAAATGAAAGGTTGCATATTGTTCACAACATGATTTTGAACATCTTTTGTTCAATATTACTTATCAAAATATTTCTCACTTTCGAGATATAAAGCGTCAAAGATTTGGCATTCTGGCCCCCTGTGGCCCCTAATTATGTACTATACGTCATAAAAATTATAATATATAGCAGTAGATTGTTGAGATAAACATTTTTTCTTCAGTATTATATTACAAAATATTAACTGATAAAGAGTTATCGAAAAAAGACTTTTGGCCCCTTTCAGCCCCTAATGTGATGAGTCAGCACTTTTTTCTTGATATCATATGAAAGATCTTGTTGCTCTGCACAAATGATGTTCAGTATGTTCTTACAAAATATTTATACTTTAAAAGATATGATGCAAAATGTCTCCAAAAATCACTCATGATTCGTGTCCTAAATTTTGACCCCTACCGAGCTTCCATACTAGGTACTTCCGGAAACTATCCAAACTCCCAGTAACATGGGGACATGTCCTCTATCATCACTGAAAATTTCAGCGCTCTAGCTCAAGGCGTTTTCGAGAAAATGAACGGACAAGGAGGTCCTCTGAATTTTGATAAAAGGGCGATAACTCTAGACCGGAAGTGATTTAAACAAAATCCTTCAGCCGGTATAAACTTCAGATTATGTTGCAACATCCTTGAAATTTTGAAGCAAATCCATCCAACCATCTCTGAGAAATCTTCTGCACAAAATTTGTGCAGAAAAAAAGAATAATAATAATAAGAAAAGTGAAAAAGAAACATAAGAATAATAGAAGGGTCTTCCGCTGAAGACGGAAGACCCTAATAATAGGGAAAAAGAAACCGAAGAATAACAAGAAGGTCTTCCGTTGGTAAAAAGAAACCGAAGAATAACAAGAAGGTCTTCCGTTGGAGATAATAATAAGAAACAGAGTAAAAACAATATGTTCCCCAACTTCGTTTGTGGATTATAACAAGACGTTATCTTACTTTACTATATAGTTAATGATGAATTTATCTCTAAAGTGGCAATATTGGAACAACTACCCGAAACATTTATACGCTCATGTTTTAATGGGGTTGCAAAATGGGTGTTTCTTAAAGATTTAATGCAAACCCTTTGGGGTAATCAGATAAGTAAATGCTTATCTATAGTGCATGAAAGTAAAAAAAATGAAATTAATAAACTAAAAATTTTGACGAAAAACTGAGGCAAAAATATGTACTTGCGGCTGTATATAACTGTTCTAAAAAGCTAATTGTTCAATTTCATATTTAACAGTTTTGAGCAGTAGTAGACATCATATTGAATAGCACAAGATACTATTTCCTAAATCCGTTGGAAAATCATCAACATAGATATGTCTTGTATACAATATTGATAAAGGGAAAATATACAACGACACCCATTCTGTCCATTCTGTTCAAACTGCACATTTATTCTTAGAAAGCAACAGTTTATAATAAGACACTGTTAACGTCTGAGTAAATAAATTGTAAATAAATAAGTAAATAAATAAATATGAATATTTCATTCATATAGAGAAGTCACCATTTACTGGTGAAGGACTTCGAATTTTGACCTTTACTCGGCACTCAGGGCAAATGAACAATGATGGATCTTTGTTGTTCCAACGCCTGCAGTGACAGGGAACCTCGGTTTTTAAGGTCTCACTCGAGACTCACAGCTTCACTTCAAGTGCCGAGCGCATTGTGAAGGAACATTTCCAACCCATTTTTTATCGACTTAGGTCAATCGCAGGCGAGATTCAAACTCTCGGAGTGAGCCCTTTACCTCCATTGCAACCTTGAATGTTGGAATACAGTATATGTCTTTTCTTAATTCTACCAACCATTATATATGTACTTTAAAATAATCCTTGCTATTTTGTTACACACTGTCAGTGAATTTATTTTGCTTGATATTTCAATAAAAACATCCAAATTCTTCTTATGAGAAAGAAACGCAACAAGCCACTTTATTTGCTTGTTATACATGTACGTGTACACAACAAACACTAAATACAAATATAATACAAATGCTACTACTACAGTTTTTAGAAGACAGTTACTTTTGCCGTCTTATGTTAGCCTATCGACGGCAAGAAAGTTGCTCCTATGTAGAAGGTGGTAAAGTATTTTTTCAAATGCTATTTACTGAGACAATATATACTTTGTATCAGAAAAATATAACTTATGTGATAAAAAATATGACTAATGTGATACAGATTAAAAATTGGCTTCGGTCTTGTCACACTGTCAAAAATTAATACATCTAAGACAGTCCGATAAAATTAAGTCGCCAGCTGGCTTCTTATCACAACTAGAAGTACATGTATTTGAGCATTAAGTCACTAAATAAACACGCCGCGTTCCATATGTTTATTTGACAAAATCCATGTTTTGACCCGAGAGACCAAAAATAAATGTCAGAACAAAGTGTAAGATAGAATCTGTGAAAGTTTCATTATATGTTATAAAGTGGTATAGTAGGAGTTGTGTAAGAGATGGGCACCCTTTAATATCCCCAGCAATTTTCAAGCGGAGGTATAAAATAGTCGTCAGGCAATTACTAGTATAAAACGTATTCGTTAGACATCGAGAGGGTTTTACAGCTTAGCCATGGTTTGCAACGACGTCAAACACGTTACATGTACATTAATTTCGTTTACATGAATTTTATGAAATATTCATTAGAGGTATGATACCATCAAGGACTTTTTACAAGATTGATGCTTTTTATGGCTCATTTAACATAAATATCGAAACGATACCAGTACCTTTGTCAAGTGAGGATTTTATTAACAAATAATTGACCACACCTGCAGTCCACTTTATGATTGTTTTCACAGCTGTCAAACAAGGCAGCAGAGAGAACACAATAGCACTCTAAATAAACAAATTAAGATATTCAACATTTAATTTTCATCTAGTAAACATACCAGAGGAAATTTTGAAATGGGATTTGAATGCCAGAGAAAGATTTGTTGAGAGTTTCCGCCATGGAAAAGTAGAAATGTTCCGTGCACGTGGTATGATTGTGGGATGCGCAGGCGCAGGTAAAACAACTCTTCTTAGAAAGCTTCAAAGGAATTACCAAGAAGATAATCAACCTACAGAGACAACGGTCGGTCTAGAGGTCCATGAAGATTTGTTTGAAATTAAAGATGGCACGTTATATGGTAATTCTTCTTTATGTATCGACATTTTTTTAATAGTTTAAAATGATTCCAGAACTCATGCATTTATACCGCTGAAATTTTATAGATGCACTGGAAGTAAATCTCATTTTGTTTGTATTTTGGAATGACTGATTAATATGCTCTAATATAATTATTATTTTGGTATTTTGTTTCGTAACATCAGATTTCATCGATAGTGAGGAAAATATTCCTGGTCCAAGATTTTTATGGGACGATGAAGAGGAAGAAAAACGAAAGGTTATCAAAGACATTCTCCATCACAGCAGCCGTGGTACAAAGCTGATTAGTATGACAGACTTTGCAGGACAAGTGGCTTATTACGCATGTCACCAGGTTTACTTGTCACGGAGAGCGTTCTATATCGTGGTCGTTGATATGTCCAAGGGTCTAGATGAAGAAGTAAGAATTTACCACACTGATCGCCATAACCCTGAGGGCTCCTTGTTCCATTCCTGGAAATACAAAGGTGGGTTTCAACAAAAACAATGTTTTTATCCTTTAATTCTACACACCAACCGATATTTCCTCTGATACATTTTATTTTTATATGCATAATTCATATTGATGAATTCTAATAAGAAAACAATGCTTTCCTTTCTTTAATTGAACACATTAAGGGATGTTTTCTCAATACTTTTTACATGTACAACCCTAGTATTCACATAAAAAACTGAATCGTTAAAAATCTGTTAAATACTATTGGCAAATAAATACTGTAACATGTTCATGTATAGAGCATTAAGTTTTTAACATTTATTTGTTTGTTTACGATTTTATTTACTGCTTCTTGTTGTCAAAATAAAAAAGTAAAGGCCAAATAAAGTAAAAAATTTAAGGTACCTTTTGATGATTTATTTTTTAAACGTTTCAATAGGACATATAAAAGTGTCTATTTCATTAATAAAAATATCAGATTTTAGTATAAATCAAAACTTAATTGATTATGTGATTGAATAATTTAGAATAATTGACATTTGCATAAAGGTTGATGATTTAATCTAATAAACTTATGTCAACAAAGAACATTTTAAATATGTCTCAAGTTGACTGCAAGGTTAGGCCGTTCCAAGTTCTTTCTATGTTTATAGTCCGGGAACAAATTGGGTTTGAAATTAAGAAATTATAAACAAACGCAAATTAAAATCGATAAACATTAATCTATGAAACGCAATGAACACTTTTAGTATCAACATCATTATTCTAAGTTGTGTAATAAATTATTCTTGTTTCAATTAAGTAGTAGTGTACGAGTAGAAGTTACTACGCAATAATAATTCTTAAATGAAGATTTACAATTCTTCTATTTTGCTTACAATATTGTCTTTACCCTTTGATATCTGTGGGGTTTTGATCTGTTTTTGAATTTAATAGGATAGGTGCTAAACAAAGTAAACTTTGATCAGCCTTTACGTTCGACATGACCGACTACATTTTTAAGTCTCGCTAAAATACGAAATTAACTTTAAAATGTATGTTTGTTCATAAACTAACATTATATTAAGGTTTGTTTGTTTCTTTTTTTGTTGTTGTTGTTGTTGTTTTTGTTTTTTTTTTAACCTATCAAATTATTCTTTGCAAACGATCATATTGATGAAAGTCATGAGAGTGATGAGAACGATACAAAAGAAAAAGAAGTGGATTAGAGATTACCAGCAATTACATGTAGCTTTCGATCATGGCTCCACTGAATTACACACATGGTTTAGTCTATTCACAGCGATTTTAAAGAATTTATACCCATCTTATAAATTAATTTTATGTAGGGAAAATCACTAGAGGTATAATAAAACTAAATAACACACGAAATAAAGATATGGTAAGATGTGTTTATTCCTTTGATTATTAGAGAAGTAATATTTCAATAACTGTAATCATCAGGTTATTAATTGTCATAATGAGCTAAACACTAAAATCATATATATTATTCGTTCCTAGTCTTTGATGTTTGGGATTCGTTCAATGCATACATGTACATTCATATGATATTGAACTTTTCAGACTATTTTCATTTCTGGTTGCAATCCATACAGACATACTGTGATGTTGGAGATACACAAACAATCCAGGAAAGCACAAAGTCAAGATCCAGCGTTCATCCTGTTATAATTGTTGCTTCTCATGCAGATGAAGTGGTAAGAAAACAATGCAAATCCTACAAAGTAATCAACACAAAAAGGAGTTTGCTGATGCATAATTAATAGTTGTTTCATGATCTTGCGTCTTCATATTCAATGATTTGTCTGTTTACACAAATGACAAAAAGCGCATGGTGGGTATGCCAATTAAAAGGGAAAGCTCACTCCTCGCTGGCACTTAGTCCAACTCTGTTTTAGATAGAGGTATATGTTTGCTCTGCTCACTATTTGACATCTTTTGCAGGACATTTGGGACTTAATTGTAGCACTATACAAGTAATAAAACAGATCTGTATTGAATGAATGTCTTACACTAGACTAACATATATTGTATTTGCATATTATGAATTCATTTTCATCCTTATAAGACATCGGCAAATCAAGTAGGAATCCAACAAAATCACTAGGGTCTCATACTGTACAACAAGCAAGGTATTTTTGAACTTCGTGAGGAACATATAGTATATGTTTTATTATATAATACTTCTATTTATCATTAATTATATATATAAGCCTCTTGTTTCACTTTTTGGGATACTCAATTTCATTAATATTATAACTATGTTTATTAATTACTATTTGTGAAGGCTAACATATTATAATCACAATCTTAAATTATTTTTAAAACAGAACGAGGATTTGCAAAAAAGGTTTTACGAGGAACTGGAAAACTGCTTATCTGATGAACAATCTTTGAAACACCTTATGTCTCGAAACAGATATTTAAATGTCGCATGTCCACCGAATAAATTGCAACCAAAACAAGAGGACTCAATTGAACCCCTCAGAAAATGTATGGTAGAAACTGTAGAAAAGATGCCACAGTGGGGAGAGAAAATTCCTATGAAATGGGCAAATCTTGAGAAAGTCCTGATTGGGATGAAAAAAAATGGCGTGAAGGTGATTAAAGTTAAAAAACTTCTTGAAATAGAAGAGGTGGATTTACCTAGCGATAAAAATCTTAATGATGGCCTTCGGTTCCTACACGAAATGGGTCAAATCGTTTATTTCGCGGACGAGAAAATGAAGGATATTATTATTGTAAACGTTCAGTGGTTTGTTGATGCCTTTAAATACATCATAACTGATGAAAAACATCTAGCAAGAAAAGGTAGCAAAAATCTTTTAATTACCACGGGGAGAATTACAGAAAACGAGCTGAAAGAGACTTGGGAAAACTCTAAAAACAATTATATTGAACATAAAGACGAGATTTTACCATACATGGACAAACTAGGTTTAATGACAGAAATTCCGGATGATTCTAAGGGTAAAACCTATTACATCCCGAGCATGAACAGAACTAAACTTACCGATGATTGTAGATATGTAATCAAAAAGGGACAAAAAACATCGATTATGGTATTCCATTTCAAAACGTACTTGCCTCATTTTTTCTTCTTTAGGCTGGTAGTTAACTGCTTTAAGAAATGGAAGCCACTTGATATGGAGTTCTTTTGTAAAAATGCAGCATTCTACACGGTAGAAGATGCTAGCCATTACATCGCAATTGCTGTTAACAAAACGTCCATTCAGTTACAGGTTTTTTCTGCAGATAAAGATATGAATCTGCAGTCAGAATGCGTCATACAGATCAGAGATACGGTGGAAAGTCTAATTAACGAAGTAACGCAAACTTTTCACAGACACATTGAGTATGAGAGAGGTTTTTCATGTACAGTTATAAACATTACAGATGAGGATGACGAGTATTTCCTGAGGGAAAGTCAAATTGTAGAAATAAAATCAATTACCGGGAAAGAAAAAAGATCATTTCCTAAACATGTTCTTCGGAATCCGCATGATATAAACAAATATCAAATGATGCAATTCTGGTTCAAATAAATCGTTACTTCCTTTTCACATTCGCAAAAGTAAGAAATACAGTGAAGAGTCTGATTACAGAAATAACACAAACTTTTCACAGACAAGTTGATTATGAGATAGGATTTTACTGCCTAAAAAAGAACATTACAGTTGAGAATCAAGATTTTTTTTTATTGGTGAAAATGACGTCATGAAAGTAGGAACAAATTCTGGTAAATAGCAAAGAATTTTTCTAAAATATACCATGGATTACATGCATCATTTGACAAACAAGGTATAATGAGATTCTAGTTCTAAAAAGAAATCATTTTCATTTTTCTTGCTAAAATAGAGAACGTTTTGTTTAATTTGATAAAAATCCTGCTAATGTTCAAGAAACATTTCTTTTATATTTTTTTGCTGTGTAAACTTATATGCATTTATTTAGAATTATTATTTCACCTAAGATTTCATTTCATTTAACCAAGCTTATTTTAAATGTTGGGTGTTAAATTTATAACTCTGAATTTGTAAGGCTATTGCAATGTTAGAAATTCAAATAATGTAAATGTATAGAGTGTTAAAATCATTCGCGTTAATTACGTATAACTACATGTAACTTTCCTCAGACAGTATTATGAATTAAACATATGTAATCATTTTTGTCCGGAGTCCGTCTGTCCGTGTGTCCGTATGTCTGTCTGTCTAGCTGTCTGTCTGTCTGTCTAGCTGTCTATCTGTCTGTCCGTCTGTCTGTAAAATTTTCACATTTTCGACTTCTTCTCAGGAACCGCTGGGCCAGTTTCAAACGAATTTGCCACAAAGCATCCTTGGTTGAAGGGAATTCAAGTTTGTTCAAATAAAGGGCCACGCCCTCATTCAAGTGGAGTTAATTGAGAATTTTGGTGGTATGTTTTAAAAATCTTCTCAAGAACCACTGTGCCAGGAAAGATGTAACTTATGGGGAAACATTCTAAGGTAGAGTAGATTTAATTTTGTTAAAATTATGTCCCCCGGGGATAAAGCGGGGCCACAATGGCCTACCAAAGTTTTATATAGAAATATATAGGAAAATTCTTTAAAAATCTTCTTCTCAAGAACAGAAAAGCCATAAAATATATAGGAAAGGATCACTTCATTATAATTATAAATAGGGATCTGACCTATAGGACCGGGCTTTGTTTTTTATTCTCTACAAAAAACCGGTCGATTTCCGTTCCAATTAGGCTGAATACATATAATATTTTGTTTTTCCTAAATCTAAATCATAAAGGTAATGTCTACTAGTCTCGTTTACCCCACATTCTCGCTCTCGAGACTTTGCCCGAGCGAGAGTCTGGTCTGATTCCTATTTGATTTTTGTAATTTCAAATCGAGGCTTGCCGAGAAATCGGTATGGGTTTTCATTGGTTGATACATTTTTTTGATGCCAAGATTTGTATTCTTCAAAAAGTCAGAGGCTGCGCCTTTACTATATCTGGTTTTATAATAAAATACCTTTGTATTCTTTACAAGGAACAAAAAAAACGCACATATCTTTGTTTAAAAAGTAAATTCTCACATGTATTTTCATGGGAGTCGCCATCTTGTTAGCCGGTTTAGCGACCTCTACTGGTCACAAAAATTAAATAGGAATCAGACCAGACTCTCGCTCGGGTAAAGTCTCGAGAGCGAGAGTCTGGTGTAAACGAGACTAATGTCTACTGTCTCTGAAATTGTAATCTTAATGTCTAGGCTATTTATCCGTGCATATAATGAAACATGTCATTAATGTGTGCAAATTATATAGGCCTAAATGAAATCCAAGGGAGTGCATTTACTGCAATATGTAGCCAAAATCAATGTGAATAAATTGTAAGGAATATATACAATTGAAATTCATCGCAGCCCAATGCTGCCAAGAATACCTGTATTGAATAACTCATAGTGAGTTATTCTTGTCTTCGGAGAAAGTGTGTTTATACTGAGGTTCGTTCCACCTTATTGACAACTGTACATTGCATTGTAACGATTTGATATCTCTTTAGTGTTTCTTATATATAAAGAATGGGTATGCAAAAAGGATAGATAATTGAAGGAAAAATACACAAGTCTATAAAAGCGTTAAAATAGTCTTTGTAAAGGCGAAATTTTAAACTTTAAAAGTGTTGTACCAGGTGGATTCGAACCCCCGACTTTGAAAAGAAAGAAAGGTGTAAAAGTCAACGTGTATATCAACTGAGCTAGTCTGACTATAAAAGTGACTGGCATAAATTTAAAGCAGATTATGAAAATAGGGTTTCCTTATTTTTTATTTATTATTTTTTTTTTTGTGAATTTCGACCCCAGGGCAGGGGTCCCCCTAAAAAAAATCGTATCTTAAATTATTCCTTACATCCTAATCTATCAAAATACCACAGTTTTATTTAGGGGCAGGCCTGCCCTGAAGGACTTCAAGGCCAAAATTCATGCAAAAACCAACGCTTAAACGGACAAAAGGG